TCGTCCGAGATGCATCCAATGTGCGGCCTGAGCCACGCTCACATGTTCCGTCAGTGGCATTGTTTACCAGCCAGCCTCCGCGGTAACATCCAAGCATACAATCGGAACATTTCGTATTATTACAGTGTTTTTGGTGATTTTTTCTGGAAAATAAGTGACCATGGGCCCCAAGAAAGCTTCTAGTGCCAACCCTACAGCAATAAGGGTGAGAATTACTATAGAGATGAAGAAAAAGATCATTGATAAGTATGAAAGTGGAGTGCGTGTCTCTGAGCTGGCCAGGTTGTATAATAAACCCCAGTCAACCATCGCTACTATTGGTGGTACAGCTGCTGCTGCTGCTGCTGCTGTACCACCGTCAGCTGCTGCTGCACTGTCAGCTGCTGCTGCACTGTCAGCTGCTGCTGCTGTTGTACCACCGTCAGCTGCTGCTGCTGCTGCTGCTGCTGTAGCATCGTCTGCTGCTGCTGTAGCATCGTCTGCTGCTGCTGTAGCATCGTCTGCTGCTGCTGTAGCATCGTCTGCTGCTGCTGTAGCATCGTCTGCTGCTGCTGTAGCATCGTCTGTTGCTGCTGTAGCATCGTCTGCTGCTGCTGTAGCATCGTCTGTTGCTGCTGTAGCATCGTCTGTTGCTGCTGTACCACCGTCAGCTGCTGCTGCTGCTGAAGCACCGTTGTTGGTGTGGCTTATTGAGAATACCAAGAAACAATTAACCCCAGAGGATTTGCCACCCAGGATAACCCAAAAAAGTCAGTGTCATCGAAGACTGTCTAACTTATTTCCATTGGGGTCCTTAATCTTGTCTCCCAGGATGCAACCCACACCAGTCGACTAACACCCAGGTGAACAGGGAAAAATGCCTGGAACTAGTGCTCATATTGGTGAATTTAAAGCCAGCAAAGGTTGGTTTGAGAGATTTAAGAATTGTAGTGGCATACACAGTGTGATAAGGCCTGTTCTGGAAGAAAATGCCAAACAGGACCTACAGTACTCAGGAGGAAAAGGCACTCCCAGGACACAGTGTCTCATCAGTCATTGCTGCATCTTCAATAAAGGTAAGTGTCATTTATTCTTCATTTAGTAGAGTAGTACATGCACAATATATATTGTGCATGTACTACTCTACTATTGTGCATGTATCCTTCTCTTTGTGTGTAGGAAAATGTATATTTCATGTGGTAAAAATTTTTTTTCATACTTTTGGGTGTCTTGCACGGATTAATTTGATTTCCATTATTTCTTATGGGGAAAATTCATTCGCATACCGAACATTTCGCATAACAATCAGCCCTCTTGCACGGATTAAGGTCGCTATGCGGGGGTCCACTGTAACCCCGGAAAAGGACGTGCTACCTAAAGTCCTAATGGAAGGGGATTCCCCTTCTAAACATTAACAACTTCCATCTCTCCCCTCCTCCCATCCCATCAATCATCACCAGATCTTCAATAAAGGTAAGTGTCAGTTTGTGTGTATTAAATTTAATATTAAATGTGGTAAAAAAAATTTTTTTTCATACTTTGTGGTGTCTTGCACGGATTAATTTGATTTCCATTATTTCTTATGGGGAAAATTAATTTCTTCTTACAATAATTTCAGCATAAGACGAGCTCTCAGGAAAGGATTAATATTGTATGCCGGGGGTCCACTGTATCAGGAAAAAATTGCATGTGGATGCACTTGTAAGTAGAGGTTCCACTGTATAAACTAAACAGTTTTATTAATTACTATATTTAAAAAGAATGTTGCAATGTTACTACTACAAAAAAGGTTAATTTTAGAATTTTATGGGAAATGTAGAGTTAATCAAAGGTTAAATGTTAGCAAAATATGCTAAGAATCACATAAAATCAAGAGATCACCAAGAACTGTGCTGTAAACAATACAAGTAAGCACACACTACATACACCATCTATGGCCACCCAGTAAACTATTCTGGCAAAAAAGTAGCCTATTTTGTCTGGACTAAAAGAAGTGCCGGGTAATGCGTTGTTGGTAAATCAGCATTGCACCTGTACCTTGGGAAATAAATGTGAAAATTTTTGAAATAGAACTGGTTCTCATGCAAAAATAACCCCCCCCCCCCACCTTCATTGTTTTAAGAAGTACAGTGGAACCTCTACTTGCGAGTTTAATCTGTTCCATGACCTTGCTCGCAACTGGATTTGCTTGTTTGCAGAGTCAATTTTCCTCATTTAACCCTTTCAGGGTCCGTCCCGTAGATCTACGGCTTTATGTTCAGGGTCCAAACCGTAGATCTACGCCATGAGCTCAGCTCACTCTGATAAACTGTGAGTGGTACATTTGGGCCTAGATATGAGAGAATACATCTATGTGGTATGTGTGCACCACATAAAACAGATCCTGCAGCACACTGTGTATAATGAGAGAAAAAAAATTAAATCATGATTTTTCGATTAAAACAGCAACTTTGCAGTGTTTTTTTGTATGTTTTTTATAGTTGTATTTGCGATTTCTTGGTCTCATTTGATAGAATGGAAGACATATTACAGAAATAGAGATGATTTTTGATTGGTTTTAGCACTGGAAATGGCTTGAAACTGAGCTCAAAGTAGCAGAAATGTTAAATTTTTGCCGATATTCAAGAGTAAACAAACGACCTCACACGTCTAATACACGTCAGCTGGTGGGTCTAATATACATTCACAAATATGGTGATGATATTTATACAATTATTACAGTATTGCATAACAGTAAATCTTCTATTTTTTGGTGTGAATAAAAATTCATTATGTGAATAAAAAATCAAAATGGAATTTATTTGTAAAGCCTCAAAACATAACTAATGAACAGAGGAAATGTTAGTTTAGTGCAGGAATGCCTACATTGTTCATTCTGGACCCTATTTTGAAATTGGAATATTTTGAACTTTGTGTTAAATTGGCCAAATTAACAATTTCCGATCACTTTATTTTGTAGTTGAAACAGTTGACTTGGCGATTTCTTATGCTCAATCGATAGAATAGAAGTAATACTAGTGAAATAGCTAAGAATTTGGTTGATTGGAATAATGTAATTGGCCTAAAATGGGAGTCAAAGTCAGCAAAATCGCCGATTCGTAAATATCGCTGACACATCAAAATTTGCGAGAGCATAATTTCGTCAATTTTCCACCAAATTTCGTTACTTTTTGTTTTATTACCTTCACAAAAAAGATTCTCTAACGATTTCATTAAGAAAAAATAACAAATTTTTTTTTTGAAAATTTTCATGGTGCTAAACTATTTGGTTGGACCCCTTTAAAAATTGAAAAATTAACCTTTCCAGTGGAATTCTGACTTCAAAAATTTTGCTAAAAACAAAAATTTTTTCTTTTTCACTAATATGACATAATAAACAATATAAATAACATAGAAACCTGATATATACCCTAAAATGAATAAAATATGTCATTATGTAACAGGTGGAGACGGCCACAACCGCTCCCTCTTTGTTGTGGTAAACACTGCCATCTAGTGACGGCCTTATGAAGCCATCTATTATAATTGTTATACGTAGTACATTATTATATATGTATTATTATTATACATATTATATTATTATTATTATTATTATTGTATTATATTATACTATTATTATTATACATATTATTATTATACATATTATTATTATTATTATTATATAAATAATTTGTAATTTTTATTCACACAAAAAATATAAGATTTACTGTTATTCCTTATTGCAATAATTGTATAAATAACGTCAACCCATTCACGACTGCATATTGGAATGGACAGTGACGTCATTTGTTTACTCTGAAACAGCAAAGCAATGGACCACTTCTCCTAGGTTGAGCTCTATTTCAAGGTACTTGTTGTCATGAAAGCAATTAAAATCATATCTATTTCTGTAATACATCTTCCCTTCTATCAAATGAGACCAAAAAAACGAGAATACAACCATAAAAACCATTCAAAATTACCGCTAAGAGGTGGATAATTGCTGAAAACTGAACTCCATAATTTATGCTTAGATTTCTTTCATTTTTGGTGTACGTTAAGAAGCATCTTTCCATCATACATTGCCCAAGTTTCAATAAGATAGTCCAAGAAACAAATAAGATACAATTCCTGAGATAAAGAGCAAGAGCCCCTCACCAGTGTCAAGGAACCTGCCCTGAGGTCTGCTCGCTTGTGGAAATTTTGCTCGCGTGTGGAGCAAAAAATCGACCCATCGACTGCTCGTATTTGGAAAAACTAGCACGTGGACACACTCGCAAGTAGAGGTTCCACTGTACTAGCTTGGCCCCTCCCTCCCTCTCATTCATTCTCTCTCTCTCATTCTATCTCTCTCTCATTCTCTCTATCTCATTCTTTCTCTCTCTCTCATTCTCATTCTCTCTCTCTCATTCTCATTCTCTCTCTCTCTCTCTACATCTACCCACATACACAGTTTATGGACACACATTATTCTCTACAGTGTTTATCATTCAATATTCTGTATTTTTTCATCACTCCATCTCATCTCTGAACATCACCACAGCACCATAACTGAATACTAGTGACAATGAAGGGGCAAAAACCAGCTAAAGTGTGAGACTATGCCTATTATGAAGACACTCTAGATGATAAACATTGATGTGTTATATATGTGATGGAGACAACCCATTCCTTTGTTGTTAGGGTCAATAATTTTACTTCTAAACAGAGAAGCAAGCCTAAGAGCACATGCTACGAAAAACAGACTGGAGTGCTGAATTATTATCATGGGGCAGTGCTAATCCGTAGGGTTTCTACAGCATCTAGGGATGGGTTGGAAACCATTCAGGGTTAATTCAGGGAACTGGAGCACAGATCCAATTTCCTAGATCAAGAGTCCTTTATCAGCATCAAGGAATCTCCCTAGAGGAATGTAATGCTGATAACAATGTTAAACAGGTCAATAACTAAATAAGACTTAAGAGTTATTAAATGTGTGAAGTGAGCAGAAAACTAAGAATCATGCCACACTAAGAGCACTTATAATATAGGTGCACATCCCTTTATCTGAAACCCTTGGGACCTGTACTGTTTCGAATTTCAGACTTTCGAATTTCAGAATGATTCTCAATGCCATCACATGGCGGTGTGACCCAGCACTGAGATGACTGACACTCCACAAAAAAAAACTTCGGTTTTCGAAACTTTTTAAACTTCAGAATTTCTGATAAAGGGATGTGGACCTGTACAAGAGAAAGCCCTAATATACTACAAAAGTGTGAGAGTAAGAAGTAAAGTCTGAAAAGAGTTTGTTTACTTCTAGATGGTTTAGCAATTATAAAATGCTCGATCAGTTGTACAATACAGTGGACCCTCAGCTAACGATGGCATCAGCTAACGTTAAATCCAGCTAACGATACATTTTAAAGCAAAAATTTTGCCCCCGCTAAGGCTAAAAAACTCGCCCAATGCGACTCGTTCGAGATGCGTCCACATGTGGCCTGAGCACGTCTCAGTTGTCCTGTGGGTGCCAATGTTTACAAGCCAGCCAGTGAGGTCGCATCCACGCATACAATCAGAACATTTCATATTATCACAGCGTTTTTAGTGATTGTACCTGCAAAATAAGTCACCATGGGCCCCAAGAAAGCTTCTAGTGCCAACCGTGCGGTAAAAAAGGTGAAAATTACTATGGAAATAAAGTGGATAAACGAAAAACAGATAGCAGGAGATACCATCTCTCAAGCGATCATATGTAAAATGGGTGGGATCATATGTAAAAAGGGTGGGAAATATGTACTATCGTACCACGGTCAGCTGCTGCTGCACCACCGTCAGCTGTTGCTGCACCACAGTCAGCTGCTGCTGCACCACGGTCAGCTGCTGCTGCACCACAGTCAGCTGCTGCAGCACCACAGTCAGCTGCTGCTGCACCACAGTCAGCTGCTGCTGCACCACGGTCAGCTGCTGCTGCACCACGGTCAGCTGCTGCTGCACCACAGTCAGCTGTTGCTGAACCATGGTCAGCTGCTGCTGCACCATGGTCAGCTGCTGCTGCACCACGGCCAGCTGTTGCTGCACCAGTCAGCTGTTGCTGAACCACGGTCAGCTGCTGTTGCACCCCAGTCAGCTGCTGCTGCACCACAGTCAGCTGCAGCTACACCACCGTCAGCTGTTGCTGCACCACGGTCAGCTGTTTCTGCACCAGTCAGCTGTTACTGAACCACGGTGAGCTGCTGCTGCACCATGGTGAGCTGCTGCTGCACCACGGTGAGCTGCTACTGCACCACAGTCAGCTGCTGCTGCACCACCGTCAGCTGTTTCTGACCAACATGACTCGCCCCGAACCTGTCCATCCAGTCCTGCCGTCATTGTTTACAAGCCAGGGTGGCCAGTTGCATGCATACATTCGATACATTTTGTATTATTCCATTGTTTACAGTACTTGTAACTGCTAAATAAGCCATCATGGGCCCAAAGAAAGCTTCTAGTGCCAACCCTGTGGTAAAAAGGGTGAGAAATATGTATTTTCGTACCACGGTCAGCTGCTGCTGCACCACCGTCAGCTGTTGCTGCACCACGGTCAGCTGTTGCTGCACCAGTCAGTTGCTGCTGCACTACAGTCAGCTGCTGCTGCACCATGATCAGCTGCAGTTCCACCACAGTCAGCTGCTGCTACACCATTTTCATCTGTTGCTGCACCACAATCAGCTGCTGCTGCATCAAAGTCAGCTGTTGCTGCACCAGAGTCAGCTGTTGCTGCACCAGTCAGCTGTTGCTGCACCATGGTCAGCTGCTGCTACACCACGGTCAGCTGTTACTGCGCCAGTCAGCTGTTGCTGAACCATGGTCAGCTGCTGCTGCACCACGGTCAGCTGCTGCTGCACCACAGTCAGCTACTGCTGCACCTCAGTCAGCTGCTGCTGCACCACAGTGAGCTGCTGCTGCACCACCGTCATCTGTTGCTGCACCACGGTCAGCTGTTGCTGCACCACGGTCAGTTGTTGCTGCACCACGGTCAGATGTTGCTGCACCACGGTCATTTGCTGCTGCACCAAAGTCAGCTGTTGCTGCACCATGGTCAGCTGCTGCTGCACCACGGTCAGCTGTTGCTGCACCACAGTCACTTGCTGCTACACCACTGTCATCTGTTGCTGCACCACAGTCAGCTGCTGCTGCACCAAAGTCAGCCTTTGCTGCACCACAGTCAAGTGTTGCTGCACTAAAGTCAGCTGTTGCTGCACCAAAGTCAGCTGTTGCTGCACCACAGTCAGCTGCTACTGCACCAAAGTCAGCTGCTGCTGCACCACAGTCAGCTGCTGCTACACCACCAGCATCTGTTGCTGCACCATGGTCAGCTGTTGTTGCACCACGGTCAGCTGTTGCTGCACCACAGTCAGGTGCTGCTGCACCAAAGTCAGCTGTTGCTGCACCATGGTCAGCTGCTGCTGCACTGCGGTCAGCTGTTGCTGCACCGCGGTCAGCTGTTGCTGCACCACGGTCACTTGCTGCTACACCACCGTCATCTGTTGCTGCACCACAGTCAGCTGCTGCTGCACCAAAGCCAGCTGTTGCTGCACCACAGTCAGGTGTTGCTGCACCACAGTCACCTGCTGCTGCACCAAAGTCAGCTGTTGCTGCACCATGGTCAGCTGCTGCTGCACCAAAGTCAGCTGTTGCTGCCCCAAAGTCAGCTGTTGCTGCACCACAGTCAGCTGGTCCTAGTGGCATTAAAAGAAGAAGGGGAGTAACCCTGGAAAAGGACGTGCTACCTAAAGTCCTAATGGAAGGGGATTCCCCTTCTAAACATTAACAACTTCCATCTCTCCCCTCCTCCTATCCCACTAATCATCACCAGATCTTTAATAAAGATAAGTGTCAGTTTGTGTGTATTAAAATTAATGTTTCATGTGGTTAAAAAAAAAAAAAAATTCATACTTTGTGGTGTCTTGCACGGATTAATTTGATTTCCATTATTTCTTATGGGGAAAATTAATTCAGATAACGATGAGCTTTCAGGAACGGATTAATATCGTTAGCTGAGGGTCCACTGTATAAAATTTAATGCTGAAAGTACTTCTGCTGAGCATGCTACTACAAAAAGTGTCCCAGCAGAGCTGGCAACAAAAAATTCTGAAAAAGTAACAACACTATTGCAAATAAATTAGGACCAGGTGGGGTTTGAACCCCTGGTGAGTCCTGACACTCACAGGCCAGTGTTAACAAATGGGCCAGCTGACTCTAAAAAGATTCATACAACCAGGTATATTTCTATACACCATAGGAAGGTTAGCATGGGCCACCACTATGACCACAAATACAGGTTTTTACAAATGAATCCCACAGAAGTGTGGCTCTTGTGTTCTCTAACTCAAGTCCCCTAATATCTTATTAGAACCAGCTGTCCTAATGGTTAACGCACTGACCTGTGAGTTTTAGGACTCACTTGCCATGGGTTCAAAACCCCACCAATTCCATGATTTACAAAGCAGCTTATCGCTCATCTTGTGTATAATTCTGGACACCAGCACCTTATGACCCACCTTGTGTATTATTGTGGACACCAGCACCTTATGACCCACCTTGTGTATTATTGTGGACACCAGCACCTTATGACCCACCTTGTGTATTATTGTGGACACCAGCACCTTATAACCCACCTTGTGTATTATTGTGGACACCAGCACCTTATAACTCACCCTGTGTATTATTGTGGACACCAGCACCTTATAACTCACATTGTGTATTTTTGGACACCAGCACCTTATAACTCACCTTTTGTATTATTGTGGACACCAGCACCTTATAACTCACCCTGGGGTATTATTGTGGACACCGCACCTTATAACTCACCCGTGTATTATTGTGGACACAAACACCTTATAACTCACCCTGTGTATTATTGTGGACACCAGCACCTTATAACTCACCCTGTGTATTATTGTGGACACCAGCACCTTATAACTCACCCTGTGTATTATTGTGGACACCAGCACCTTATAACTCACCTTGTGTATTATTGTGGACACCAGCACCTTATAACTCACCTTGTGTATTATTGTGGACACCAGCACCTTATAACTCACCTTGTGTATTATTGTGGACACCAGCACCTTATAACCCACCCTGTGTATTATTGTGGACACCAGCACCTTATAACCCACCCTGTATATTATTGTGGACACCAGCACCTTATAACCCACCTGTGTTATTTTTGTGGACACCAGCACCTTATAACTCACCTTGTGTATTATTGTGGACACCAGCACCTTATAACCCACCCTGTATATTATTGTGGACACCAGCACCTTATAACCCACCCTGTGTATTATTGTGGACACCAGCACCTTATAACCCACCTGGTGTATTATTGTGGACACCAGCACCTTATAACTCACCTTGTGTATTATTGTGGACACCAGCACCTTATAACTCACCTTGTGTATTATTGTGGACACCAGCACCTTATAACTCACCTTGTGTATTATTGTGGACACCAGCACCTTATAACCCACCTTGTGTATTATTGGGGACACCAGCACCTTATAACCCACCTTGTGTATTATTGTGGACACCAGCACCTTATAACTCACCCTGTGTATTATTGTGGACACCAGCACCTTATAACTCACCCTGTGTATTATTGTGGACACCAGCACCTTATAACCCACCCTGTGTATTATTGTGGACACCAGCACCTTATATCCCACCCTGTGTATTATTGTGGACACCAGCACCTTATAACTCACCCTGTGTATTATTGTGGACACCAGCACCTTATAACTCACCCTGTGTATTATTGTGGACACCAGCACCTTATATCCCACCCTGTGTATTATTGTGGCCACCAGCCGGACTAGAGTCCTGGAAATGGGAAGTACAATGCCTGCACTCTAAAGGAGGGGTTCGGGATATTGGCAGTTTGGAGGGATATGTTGTGTATCTTTATACGTATATGCTTCAAAGCTGTTGTATTCTGGGCACCTCTGCAAAAACAGTGATTATGTGTGAGTGAGGTGAAAGTGTTGAATGATGATGAAAGTATTTTCTTTTTGGGGATTTTCTTTCTTTTTGGGTCACCCTGCCTTGGTGGGAGATGGCCGACTTGTTTAAAAAAAAAAAGCACCTTATAACTCACCTTCTGTATTATTGTGGACACCAGCACCTTTTAACCCATTGACTGTCGCAGGCCCCTTTCTGAAACTGTCATTCTATGTCGCAAAAGTTTTGGAAAAAAAAAACTATTTTTTCTTATGAAATGTTAGAGAACCTTTTCCCGATGGTAATGACACCCAAAGTACGAAATTTGGCCAAAAACTCACGGAATTACACTCCCGCAAAGTTAGCGGCCATGGCAACATATACACATCAGCAATTTCGCCGACATTGAGCCCTGTTTTTGGCCAGTTCCGTTGTTCCAGTTGACCAAACTCATAGCTATTTCTTTAGAACTCCATTTTTTGTCAGCTGAGTACAAGAAACCGTCCATTTACCGATTTGAACTACTCAATAAAGTGGTCAGAAATTGGCAATTTGGCCAATTTCACACAAATTAAAAAAGATGCCAATTTCAAAATAGGGTCCAGAATAAACAATGTAGACATTCTCGGCATTAAAATAACATATCCTCTGTTCATTAGTCACGTCTCTAGGCCCCTCTTATATTACTATTGCTTTCTATTTTGATTTTTTATTCATACAAAAAAAAAATACAAAATTTACTGTTGTGCAGAGTAACGCATTATTGTAAAAATGGTATAAATAATATCAGTGCACTAGTGAAAGAATATTAGACTCCCCAGTTGACGTGTATTGGATGTGTGGTGTAATTTACTTACTCCTGAACACTGGTAAAAATCGAGCATTTTTGCTACTCTGAACTCGATTTCAAGGTCGTTTTCATCGTGAAAGTACTGAAAATCATCTCTATTTCTGTAATATGTTTTTCATTTCATCACCTGAGACCATGAAAGCGAGAATTTAACTATAAATACTATACGAATATACACCTCAAAGTCGGCGTTTTAATAAAAAAAAACGGTCATTTTTTTTTTCTCATTACGCACTGCATGCTGCAGGATTTTTTTTGTGGTGCACACTGACCACACAGACCCATTCTCTCACATGTGGGACTACCAGCTTTCTCCTGCTTGATTTGAAGCCGCTAGAATTTACGTGTATAAATAAGTCAGAAACAGTGGCGCAAAAGACGTATATATATGACGTAAACAGTCAAAGGGTTAACTCGCCCTGTGTATTATTGTGGACACCAGCACCTTATAACTCACCTTGTGTATTATTGTGGACACCAGCACCTTATAACTCACCTTGTGTATTATTGTGGACACCAGCACCTTATAACTCACCCTGTGTATTATTGTGGACACCAGCACCTTATAACTCACCTTGTGTATTATTGTGGACACCAGCACCTTATAACTCACCCTGTGTATTATTGTTGAACCACACAGCACCTTATAACTCACCCTGTGTATTATTGTGGACACCAGCACCTTATAACTCACCTTGTGTATTATGTGGACAACCAGCACCTTATAACTCACCTTGTGTATTATTGTGGACACCAGCACCTTATAACTCACCTTGTGTATTATTGTGGACACCAGCACCTTATAACCCACCTTGTGTATTATTGTGGACACCAGCACCTTATAACCCACCCTGTGTATTATTGTGGACACCAGCACCTTATAACTCACCCTGTGTATTATTGTGGACACCAGCACCTTATAACTCACCTTGTGTATTATTGTGGACACCAGCACCTTATAACTCACCCTGTGTATTATTGTGGACACCAGCACCTTATAACTCACCCTGTGTATTATTGTGGACACCAGCACCTTATAACTCACCCTGTGTATTATTGTGGACACCAGCACCTTATAACTCACCTTGTGTATAATTCAATTCATGAACTCCTAATGCTGTTTTATCTTTGTTATTCTCTTCCTGAAGTTCAGGCTCAGGGTCAGGTTCAGGGGCATCTTTTAAGAGATGCTGAATGGATCCACTGAAGCGTTCAATGGCACTCACCACGGCTTTCTCTTTCACTTCCTTAAATTAGAGTCAATAATTCATATACAATTTCTAAACTAAATTTATGAAAAAAATGTAAAAAATAATAAATTTAAACATTTTTAAACCTATGTATATTATAGGACATACACTAGTTTAACCCTTTGACTGTTTCAGGCCCCTTTCTGAAACTGTCATTCTATGTCGCTAAATTTTTGAAAAAAAAAAAAAAAAAAAAAATCTTATGAAATGATAGAGAATCTTTTCCCCATGGTAATGACACCAAAAGTTCGAAATTTGGTCAAAAACTCATGGAATTACACTCCCGCGAAGTTAGCGGTCTCGGAAACATATGCGTATCGGCAATTTTGCCGACTTTGAGCCCTATTTTCAGCCAATTCCTTTGTTCCAGTTGACCAAACTCATAGCTATTTCTTTAGAACTCCATTTTATCTATAGCTGAGTACAAGAAACCTCCCATTTACCAATTTGGACTACCCAATATTGTGGTCAAAAATTGGCAATTTGGCCAATTTCACACTAACTAAAAAAGATGCCAATTTCAAAATAGGGTCCAGAATAAACAAGGTAGACATTCTTGGCACTAAAATAACATATCCTCTGTTCATTAGTCACATCTCTAGGCCCCTCTTATATTATTATTGCTTTCTATTTTGATTTTTTATTCATACAAAAAAATACAAAATTTACTGTTATGCAGACTACTGCATTATTGTAAAAATGGTATAAATAATATCAGTGCACTAGTGAAAGAATATTAGACTCCCCAGTTGACGTGTATTGGACGTGTGGTATGATTTGTTTACTCCTGAACATTGGTAAAACTCGAACATTTCCGCTACTTTGAGCTCAGTTTCAAGGTCGTTTTCATCGTCAAAGTAATAAAAATCATCTCTATTTCTGTAATATGTTTTCCATTTTATCACCTAAGACCATGAAAACGCAAATATATCGATAAATACTATACGAAAATACACCTCAAATTCGGCGTTTTAATCCAAAAAAACGATCAGTTTTTTTTTCTCATTACGCACTGTGCGCTGCAGGATTTTTTTTATGTGGTGCACACTGACCACACAGACCCATTCTCTCACATGTGGGCCTACCAGCTTTCTTCCGCTTGATTTGAAGTCGCTAGAATTGTTGAGTATATACACGCCTGAAACACTGGCTCGTAAGACGTATATATATGACCAAAACAGTCAAAGGGTTAATACATATAAAATATAAAAACTGGACAAGCCAACACCTAACTGAAGTCAAAACAAGTATTTCAGTAGCTATGACCTTTCCATCGTTTAAAGTTTAAAATTATAAACGTGGTTGTGGATGCTTAGCCAGGACAAAACTGTACAATAACTTCACTAACATTCTAATAATAAATTGCTTGAAAACTTGGGTTGATTAAAAGCTTTTAAAATTCATTGTGGTGTAAAAAATGTAGGTAGAGTAAGAAAAGTCCTAAACCTTATCTATATCACACAAGCTATATAATACAGACAAATATATAGCTCACACACACATGCAATACCTGGAAACTTTTATAAGGATAAGTTTTGCTCACCTAGGTAGTAGGTTGGTAGACAGCAACCCCAGGGAGGTACTACTGTCCTGTCAAGTGAGTATGAAACAGAAGCCTGCAACTGCAGGCAATTGCTGCAACAGACACCAGCAATCCTACCATTGCTGGTGTCTTTCTGTCTCATAAACATACAAGATTTCAGGTACATCTTGCTACTTCTACTTACACTTAGGTCACCCTACACTTGCATGTGCAAGCATATATATATACATACACTCCTCTTGGTCTTCTGTTTTTTCCTGCTAGTTCTTGCTCTTGTTTATTTCTGCTTGTGTCCATGGGGAAGTGGAACATAATTCTTCCCCCATAAGCCATGCGTGTCGCAAGAGGCGACTAAAATGCCAGAAGCAAGGTGCTAGTAACCCCTTCTCCTGTATATATTACTAAATTTAAAAGGAGAAAACTTTTGTTTTTCCTTTTGGGCCACCCTGGCTTGGTGGGATCCTGCTAGTTGATTGAAAGTAGTAGTAGTTTTGCTCACTAGAACATAAGAGTATGCATTGTAGTAGGCCTAATGGCTCATGCTAAGTAGGCCATTCTCAAAAGAAATCTTTCTCACTCATATTTCACCAACCTATTTTAAAAGTTACCTAAAAGTATTAATTCATTGACTGCTTTGAGGCTGGTCTACAGCTCTACTACAAAAACAGCATTTTCCTACATCAATTCTAAATCTGAATGCAGCCATCTTGAATCTACAGTCCCAAGTTTAAAATGATTAATATTCTTAGGACAATAGTTACATTGCCTTGGTTTTAAACCAGTCTTTCACCCGCTAACTTCAATCATATCTACTCCCTCATTTCATGTCTTTCAAGAATGTGTACGCATATACAGACCTGAAACGAGTTGCTTTAGGTAAGTGAGGCCTTATTAATGTTGCACAGATGTGTAGAACATACAATGAATTCGTATTACTTAACTATGCTGACCAGAGGATATTAAGACACAGCTGTCAGGTGAAATTATTGTACTCCACATCTACAGCCTACATTATAACTATCTTTTGCTATATTACATGTCTAAGCCATATAAATCTTACCTCTGATACAGCAACAACAAACTCAAATATTTCATCAGCAATTATCTCACCTTTAACAGCTTAGTAGCTAGCACAGCAACTTGTCTTAAGGTAGTGAAGTTCCCTGGTGTCAGTTGCAGATGGTTTAGGCAACGAACAAGTACTTTTGTCCAGGAGCTTTGTGGTACTTGCATAATCTCTGTGCATAACGTGAACACCAGCGTATCATGAGTGTTAGTTTTCTGTGGATAATAAAAATGAACTAGATATGGTTAATTTGCATTAGTGTAATTAAGGGAGGTATGCCAGGTATCCAATGATATGCTTTAATCTTTAAAAACAGCATAAAATTTCTCACTCCCTATGTCCCCTCAAATGAGGCACTGAGAAGCATTAATAATTTTATTGTTGATAACTTTCAGGGGAGCAACGAGCTAGTAACTCCTTCTCCTGTATAAGTTACTAAATTTCAAAAGAAAACTTTTGTTTTTCTTTTTAAGTCACTCTGACTCGGTGAGATACAGCCGGTTTGTTACAAAAAAAAAACGATTTCCAAAAGTTCACTAAAGCTTCAAATAATACTACATGTGCAACTTTCCTACAATCCTCACTCTGCCTATACATTCCAATACTCCCCACGTACTGTCTATACCACTAGTTCAAATAAACCTACCATCCGACTTACTTGAATACAGGAAAGAGTAAGGTTATGAGGATAACAAAAAGATTAGGTGATGAAAGATTGAATATCAGATTGGAGGGAGAGAGTATGGAGGAGGTGAACGTATTCAGACATTTGGAGTGGACGTGTCAGCGGATGGGTCTATGAAAGATGAGGTGAATCATAGAATTGATGAGGGAAAAAGAGTGAGTGGTGCACTTAGGAGTCTGTGGAGACAGAGAACTTTGTCCTTGGAGGCAAAGAGGGGAATGTATGAGAGTATAGTTTTACCAACGCTCTTATATGGGTGTGAAGCATGGGTGATGAATGTTGCAGCGAGGAGAAGGCTGGAGGCAGTGGAGATGTCATGTCTGAGGGCAATGTGTGGTGTGAATATAATGCAGAGAATTCGTAGTTTGGAAGTTAGGAGGAGGTGCGGGATTACCAAAACTGTTGTCCAGAGGGCTGAGGAAGGGTTGTTGAGGTGGTTCGGACATGTAGAGAGAATGGAGCGAAACAGAATAACTTCAAGAGTGTATCAGTCTGTAGTGGAAGGAAGGCGGGGTAGGGGTCGGCCTAGGAAGGGTTGGAGGGAGGGGGTAAAGGAGGTTTTGTGTGCGAGGGGCTTGGACTTCCAGCAGGCATGCGTGAGCGTGTTTGATAGGAGTGAATGGAGACAAATGGTTTTTAATACTTGACGTGCTGTTGGAGTGTGAGCAAAGTAACATTTATGAAGGGATTCAGGGAAACCGGCATGCCGGACTTGAGTCCTGGAGATGGGAAGTACAGTGCCTGCACTCTGAAGGAGGGGTGTTAATGTTGCAGTTTAAAAACTGTAGTGTAAAGCACCCTTCTGGCAAGACAGTGATGGAGTGAATGATGGTGAAAGTTTTTCTTTTTCGGGCCACCCTGCCTTGGTGGGAATCGGCCAGTGTGATAATAAAAAAAAAAAAAATCCGACTTACGACAGAGCTTGGTTTCGACCAATCGGTCGTAAGTAAAAATGGACGTAAGTTGAACCTTATTACTGAATGTCAACATCACATTTTTGTAATGATTTTATTTTATTGTTTTATGGAGGAATTTAACTTTTTACTTTACTTTTTATGCAGTTAATACTGTATTTTATACTGGAAGGGTAAGCATAAACACTGTGTACAGCACAAACAGTTGCGTATTTCCTAGAAATTTGGCATACAAAACATGGTCGTAAGTCAAGTGGTCATATGTCAAGCAGGCTGTAAGTCGGATGGTAGGTGTACTTGTGTCAAAAGTGTACCTTTGGACATTTTCTATCATCAACCTTGTACCCAGTTGTACAGATACCAAAAAGTTTTCAATATACAGTGGACCCTCGACCAGCGATATTAATCCGTTCCTGAGAGCTCATTGTTAATCGAAATTATCGTTAGTCGAGTTAATTTTCCCCATAAGAAATGATGGAAATCAAATTAATCCATTCCAGACACCCCAAAGTATTGAAAAAAAAAAAATTTACCACATGAAATATTAATTTTAATACACACAAACTGAAGAAGACATGCACAGTTACATGGCACTTACCTTTATCGAAGATCTGGTGATGACTGATGGGATGGGAGGAGGGGAGAGTGTTGATCTTCTTAAGTGTTTAGAAGGGGAATCCCCTCCACAGGGAAATCCCCTTCCATTAGGACTTGAGGTAGCAAGTCTTTTTCCGGGGTTATTTCCCTTGTTCTTTTAATGCCACTAGGACCAGCTTCAGAGTCACTGGACTTCTGTCGCACAACATATCTGTCCATAGAGGCCTGTACCTCCCGTTCCTTTATGACATTTCTAAAGTGTTTCACAACATTGTCAGTGTACAGGTTGCCAACACGGCTTGCAGTAGCTGTGTCAGGGTGATTTTCATCCATAAAGGTTTGCACTTTAAGCCACATTGCACAGATTTACTTAAACTTAAGTAGTAGGCAACTTCTTCAATTTCTCTCTCCCCTCCTCCGAAGCAGTTTCCTCAGGTGTGGCCTCATGCTGATGAAGATGATCTAGCATCAGTGGTTAGTTCTTCATTGTCCTCCTTCACCAACTCTTCCACATCCTCCCCACTAACCTCCAACCCCAAGGACTTCCCCAATGCCACAATGGATTCCTCAACTGGCATAGGATTCTCAGGGTTAGCCTCAAACCCTTCAAAATCCTTTTTGTCTACACATTCTGGCCACAGTTTTTTCCAAGCAGAGTTCAAGGTCCTCTTAGTCACTTCCTCCCAAGCCTTACCTACAATGTTTACACAATTGAGGATGGTAAAGTGATCTCTCCAAAACTCTCTTAGAGTCAATTGAGTTTCTGAGGTCACTACAAAGCACCTTTCAAATATAGCTTTTGTGTACAGTTTCTTGAAGTTGGAAATGACCTGCCTGTCCATGGGCTGCAGGAGAGGACTGGTATTAGGAGGCAAAAACTTCACCTTAATGAAGCTCATGTCCCTAGAAAGTCACTCTGCCAAGTCTGAAGGATGACCAGGAGCATTGTCTAATACCAGGAGGCACTTAAGGTCTAATTTCTTTTCAATTAGGTAATTTTTCACAGTGGGGGCAAATGCATGGTGTAATCAGTCATAGAAAAAGTCCCTAGTGACCCATGCCTTACTGTTTGCCCTCCACAGCACACACAAATTAGCCTTGAGGACATAGTTTTTCCTGAACACTCTGGGAGTTTCAGAGTGATACACCAATAAAGGCTTCACTTTGCAATCAACACTAGCATTGGCACACATCAACAGAGTAAGCCTGTCTTTCATAGGCTTATGTCCTGGGAGTGCCTTTTCTTCCTGAGTAATGTAGGTCCTGCTTGGCATTTTCTTCCAAAACAGGCCTGTTTCGTCGCAATTAAACACTTGTTCAGGTTTCAAGTCTTCACTGACTATGTAATCCATGAATTCCTTCACATATTTTTCAGCTGCTTTTTGGTCCGAACTGGCATACTCACCATGCCTAATCACACTATGTATGCCACTACGATTCTTAAATCTTTCAAACCAACCTTTGCTGGCCTTAAATTCACTGCACTAGTTGCAGGCAATTTCTTTACCAAATCGTCATGCAACTGCCTAGCCTTTTCACAAATGATCGCTTGAGAGATGCTATCTCCTGCTATCTGTTTTTCATTTATCCACACCAATAACAGTCTCTCAACATTTTCTAACACTTGCGGTCGCTGTTTCATAATCAAAGTTGAACCTTTTGCAAGAACAGCTTCCTTGATTGCCGTTTTCCTGGTCACTATGGTAGAGATGGTTGATTGAGGTTTACTATACAACCTGACCAGCTCCGACACACGCACTCCACTTTCGTACTTTGCAATTATCTCTTTCTTCATTTCAATAGTCATTAGCACCTTTTTTCCCGAAGGGTTGGCACTAGAAGCTTTCTTGGGGCCCATGGTGACTTATTTTGCAGAAACAAGCACAAAAAACAGTGATAATATGGATAATATGGAATGTACCGAATGTATCCTTAGATGCACACACACTGGCTGGCTTGTAAACACTGGCACACACTGGGCAGTTCAGGCCACACGTGGACACGTCTCGTACGAATCGCATCGAATACCGGGATTTCGATCGGATACTGAGACAAAATTTTTGCGATATAATGCATCGAATACCGGAGGTCCACTGTACTAGTGAAATAGCTATGAGTTTCATGGACTGGAACAATGAAATTGGCCAAAAATAGAGAACACAGTAGGCGAAATTGCTGATGTGTAAATATCGCCGAAACAGCTAACTTTGCAAGAGCATAATTCCATAAGTTTTCCATCAAATTTCATACTTTTGGTTTCATTACCTTAGGAAAACGTCTGTTTCATTTCACATATTTTAAATTCTTTGACACTGGGAGCAGATTTGAGAGCAGGGGTCTCGACACTGAAGGATTAATAAAGCATCCAATAAACTTGTTTCTTTATTCTGCATACAACAGGGCCCCAACTTATGTTCCATTGTAGAATGGGTCTATGCTCTCATACCAACTTACGACATTTTACACTTAAAACATCAGCACTTTGGAACCAAGTAATTACTTACAGTGATGTGTGGTAATGATTACTACAAAAATTACATCAGTGGAAATATTATGTGGTGTGAATATTACACAGAGAATTCAAAGCCTAGACATTAGGTGTGGGGGTTATCAAAAGTATTATTCACGATGCTGAGGAGGGTCTGTTGAGGTGGTTTGAACATTTAGAGGGTTAAGCAAAATAAGAGAGTGAATGAATTTGTGGTGAGAGGGATAGGGGTTGTTCTATGAAAGGTTGGAGAAAGGGGCAAAAGCTGGTTTTGAGTGTTAGAGGCTTGGACATCCAACAGGCTTGTGAATGCTTTAGGAGTGAATGAAAGTGTAAGGTAGCAGGGGAGATCAGTCAGCCAAACTTCAATCCTGGAGGAAGGAAGTAAAGTGCCTGCACTCTAGTAAGATGAAGATCTTGCAGTTCACAGCATCATTGGAATTATGCTGTCTAGCACTTTTAACACAACAGGTTTTGTATGTGAATGTGTTTCCTTTTGGATGGTTTACCCTTTCTTAGTGGTAAATGGCCATAGTAAAAATAAAAAAATAAACATGATTTGGTTGTCTTAATATCAATACTTACATCTACTCCTATATTTTCCATGACAATTGAGGGACTGGTGATAGACACTAAGAAGTTTGCCACATCATCCACATCAACATCTCTGAGTGGTGAGCGTGAAGGGGCTTTAAAAAGTGTGTGCAAAGTTGGAAGTACAGCTTCACACAAACTCTCCTGGTTACTTCCTCCATAAGAGGCATATAAGGGGAAAAAGACACCAAGCATGTGCCGCAAGAAATCATCATCCTCTGCAACAAAGAACATTTAAGTAGAATTTATTTCTAATTTCATATACTCTTTCACAATAATACCTCTTACACCCATATAACCTATGATCCTAACTTTCCAACTTGTTCTTGGCTTTCCGGTCCCTCTTCCCTTTACTATACTATTGTACACTCTTGCCAACAGAAAACCACTTTCCCAAACTCAACATAGTAAAGTCTCTCTCCTCAACTATCAGAAATGCATTTATGCTCAAATATTTGCTCTCATATCCTGGTCATTTGAAGACCTAGGGCAGGGGATATGGGGGAGGAAGAGATGTCATTATGCCAGTGAAGGGCTCCTGATCCAAGGCATTGGAAATACCTTCATTTTCCTTGGATCAAACTTCCTTACCTCCCAGGTCAGACACTGTATGACCCTATATACATGGTGTTTGCCTTGATGGGAAATGGCCAATGTGTTAAAAAAAAAAAAAAAAGATGATTCGATACTCAAGTATTACACACCCACGTTTCCCTGATTACAGTACAGTTATGAGGTTATGAATTTTTCCCAATCTCAAAACACAAAACTCCCTAAAACAGTTTGACCTTGGACAACACTTCACTACTCATCTGGAGTCTGTAGTTATAATTATTATGATATATGTATGAGAGTATAATGTGATCATCATCTGAAGGAGGAAGCATCGCCTCCTCACTTTCTCCCCCACAACTGAGTCTCTTCAACATCAACACCCACCTTCTGAACTAAGGCTATTTGTTATATATACATAAAACAGTGATGGAGTGAACGATGGTGAAAGTTTCTTATTTTAGCTCACCCTACCTCGGTGGGAGTTGGCGAGTGTGTTAAATGTACATGTTACAATGTAAGTTACATGAACAAGGGGATCAATAAGCAGTGTTACTGATAGAGATGGATGACACATTCACCACAATACAGTCTATCAAGAGTACTGTACATTCAAATATTTTTTTCGGGAAACTAAATCTGACAAACACAGAAGCTTTTAGTGTAATCATCAATTTTGGTGATTCTGACTTTTTTCTAATGGTTTACAAGTCAGCCTGTCCAAACTGTAAGCTGCTACTAAGAAAAGCAAAAACTTGCCCACTTGTTTTTTTCATACTGTAATTTTTCAATTACATGTACTGTCTGAAAACCACTGGATTTTTTATATTTGTGTGAAGTGCTTAATCCACATGAGTCATGTAGCTCAAGGAGTGATGAAGGCTCGATCTTCCATTCACTAATTTTTAGAGACGTATTACTCATGCAGCAAGCCAAGCCGAGACTTGGAAAACAGTGTAATGGTAATGCTGGGCACACTGACTGAGTTGTCACCTTGCTGGGTGTCTGTCATTCATGATTTTTAACCCTTTCTTCATATTAACTCACCTGCCTTCTCTTAGATGTGTGGCAACAAAAAGACCCATTTTTACCCCAATAACTTAAAGTGGCTCTAACTGCCAGTCCTAGTATAATATAATAGTACAGCCTCTCTTCACTTAGTGACGTACTCGTTTACCGACGACTCTGACTTACGACAGGCTCTCTGATCAGTATGCATACCTCAATAATGTATATTAAAGCTGATTTCCTTTAATCTGTTTATTACAATATACAGTACACTGCTGTATAAACATTTAAAAATATACCAGAAATGCTAAAAATGGTGGAAAGGCAACATTAAAATAATATCAAAGATGGTTAACACAAACCCACTACCATTATAGTACGCTCCTCACTGAGCAACGAATTCATTTACTGACGTGGTCTTAGAAATGAAACTCCATCATTAAGTGAGGAGAGTCTGTATTAGTTCTGCCTTTTATTTTATATTGTCTTTACTTTCTTTAGTGTTTTCCTGTTCTAAAACTATTCACTAGAACTTAGGCTTCTCTACACCTTTCCGCTTATTATATTTCTCAAAATATCACAAAATATTTTGCAATGGATGTGGGTGGCCATCATTAGCAAAAATAAGAGTGTGATAAAGTATCAGTATCAGTTAATTTTGATGGTATTGGTATCAGCCTAAAATTGAGTATTGATATCTGCCTATCCCTAAACAAAAATGTGTATGAAATAAGGGGAAAAGTATAAATGCTTAACATAAAACATATATGATATGCTACTATTAAATTTTTAAATTAAGAATTAAAGAAAACTAGCAAAACATTGCCAATCAGATTTCTGAACTTGCATACCTGTTACTGGATTATACCACATAAGGATGAGATGAGAGAGCAGCTTGGAAGAAGTGATACGACAAGATAGCAACAGTTTGCAAAGTCCCTCAGCTGCAAGAGTTCGCACATCAACACTGTCTCTATCCATCATCTACAAGAAAGAAAAAACACTGAACGTAGGCAGCACGGCAAATATCTCAAAAAGAAAAATCATGAGTAAAACATGAACACTGAAGTCATCCGAGTTATTTCTTTAAACAATCTACATACGTACTAACCTTTTAAAAAATTTGTGTTTTTGGTTTGAAACAGCGACTTTGCTTGGTTTTTTCGTATGGTATTTATGGTTGTATTCTAGTTTCCCTGGTCTCATTTTATAGAATGAAGACATATTACAGAAATTGAGACGAGTCTGATTGGTTTCACAATGAAAAGTACCTTGAAATTGAGCTCAAAGTAGCAGAAATGTCCGATTTTTGCCAAAGCTCAAGAGAAAACAAATCATGCCACGCGTCCAATACACGTCAACTGGTGAGTCTGATATTCTTTCACAAGTGCACTGATATTATTTATATCATTTCTACACTAATGCAGTAGTCTGCATAACAGTAAATCTTCTATTTTTTGTGAGGATAAGAATTCAAAGTAGAAAGCAAAAGAAATGTAAGAGGGGCCTGTGGACTTAGACTAATGAACAGAGGAAATGTTACTTTAGTGCCAGGAATGTCTGTCTTGTTTCTTCTGGACCCTATTTGGAAATTGGCATCTTTTGAAATTTGTGTGAAATTGGCAAAATTGCTAATTTCTGGGCACTTTATTGGACAGTTGAAATTGGTAAATGGGTGGTGTCTTGTACTCATTTGATAGAAAAGATGGAGTTCAAGCAAAATAGTTATGATTTTTGTCGACTGGTACATTGGAATTGGCCGAAAATAGGTCTCAAAGTGAGCGAAATAGCCAATGTGTAAACATCGTCAAGACCGCTAACTTCGCGAGAGCATAATTCTATAAGTTTTCCATCAAATTTCAAACTTTTGGTGTTATTATGATCAGGAAAAGATTCTCTATATTTTCATATGAAAAAAAAAAAAATTTCTGCTAAATTTTCGACCCTGAGAACATGTTTGGGAGAGGGCCTCTCGACCCTGAAAGGGTTAAATACCACTGCCTGAACCACTGCGGTGCACTGCTCATATTTTGGTACAATTTCTTTCTTCAATTCTATCATGTTTCTCAATTTCTTTACCAAAGGGCTGGCACTAGCAATTTTCTTTGGACCCACGGTTAATTATATAGCAGTCGCACTCAATCTACAAGCACCAAACACAATGAATTATTGTGAAATGTTTGGAAGAGCACGGAGACTAATGCTCACTCCAGTATAAACAAAGCCACACTGACCGACGATGCCTCAACCACTTTCTCCACCACTGCTTCAACCCTCGTATTTTTGTACAATTTCCTTTTTCAATTCTATCATATTATTATTATTATTATTATTATTATTATTATTATTATTATTAATGTGGTGAGTGTCTTGTTTGTTCATTATTTGCTATTAAACTACAGTATAAATAATGTCAACCCATTCATGACTGCATATTGGAATGGCCATTCGGAGAGGTATTGGACGGTGAGATCATATGTTTACTCTTGAACACGGCAAAGAATCTACTACTGCTAATAATAATAATAATAATAACAATAGAACTGAAGAAGGGAATTGTACAAAAATACGAGGGTTGAAGCAGTGGTGGAGGAAGTGGTTGAGGCATCGTCAGTCAGTGTGGCTTTGTTTATGCTGGAGTGAGCATTAGTCTCCGTGCTCTTCCAAACATTTCACAATAATTCATTGTGTTTGGTGCTTGTAGATTGAATGCAACTGGAGTGGTTGAGGCAGTGGTTGAGGCAGGGGTTGAGGCAGTGGTTTAGGCAGCGGTTGAGGCAGCGGTTGAGGCAGCGGTTGAGGCAGCGGTTGAAGCAGCGGTTGAGGCAATGGTTGAGGCAATGGTTGAGGCAGTGGTAGAGGCAGTTGTAGAGGCAGTGGTTGAGGCAGTGGTTGAGGCAGTGGTTGAGGCAGTGGTTGAGGCAGTGGTTGAGGCAGTGGTATTTAATAACATACAAGTTATTAATAATAACATGTATTATTAATATTAATAACATGTATGTTATTAAATACCACTGCCTCAACTGCTGCTTCAACCACTGCTTCAGCCACTGCCTCAAAACCACTGCCTCTACCACTGCCTCAACCACTGCCTCTACCACTGCCTCAACCACTCCAGTCGCACTCAATCTACAAGCACCAAACACAATGAATTATTGTGAAATGTTTGGAAGAGCAGGGAGACTAATGCTCACTCCAGCATAAACAAAGCCACACTGACTGACGATGCCTCAACCACTTCCTCCACCACTGCTTCAACCCTCGTATTTTTGTACAATTCCCTTCTTCAATTCTATCGTATTATTACAGTGGACCCCCGCATACCGATGGCACCACATAGCTTTTAATCCGCATACCGCTTGCTTTAATCGCAAAAATTTTGCCTCGCATACCGCTTAAAAACCCGCTCACCGATTTTCGTCCAAGACGCGTCCAATGTGCGCCCTCAGCCAGCCTCACATGTGCCGCCCGTGCCATTGTTTACCAGCCAGCCTCCGCAGGTAACATCCAAGCATACAAACGGAATATTTCGTATTATTACAGTGTTTTCGGTGCTGTTTCTGGAAAATAAGTGACCATGGGCCCCAAGAAAGCTTCTAGTGCCAACCCTACACCAATAAGGGTGAGAATTCCAATAGAAATGAAGAAAGAGATCATTGATAAGTATGAAAGTGGAGTGCGTATCGCCGACCTGGTCAGGTTGTACAAGAAACCCCAATCAACCATCGCTACTATTGTGGGCACCAGAAAGGCAATCAAGGAAGCTGTTCTTGCAAAGGTTTAACTGTGTTTTCGAAACAAAGATTGCAAGTGATGGAAGATGTTGAGAGACTCTTATTGGTGTGGATAAATGAAAAACAGCTAGCAAGAGATAGCATCTCTCAAGCGATCATAAGCGAAAAGGCTAGGAAGTTGCATCAGGATTTAATTAAAAAAATGCCTGCAACTAGTGATGATGTGAGTGAATTTAAGGCCAGCAAAGGTTGGTTTGAGAGATTTAAGAAGCGTAGTGGCATACATAGTGTGATAAGGCATGGTGAGGCTGCCAGTTCGGACCACAAAGCGGCTGAAAAATATGTGCATGAATTCAAGGAGTACATAGAGACTGAAGGACTGAAACCTGAACAAGTGTTTAATTGTGATGAAACAGGCCTGTTTTGGAAGAAAATGCCAAGCAGGACCTACATTACTCAGGAGGAAAAGGCACTCCCAGGACATAAGCCTATGAAAGACAGGCTTACTTTGTTGATGTGTTCCAATGCTAGTGGTGATTGCAAAGTTAAGCCTTTATTAGTGTATCACTCTGAAACTCCCAGAGCGTTCAGGCAAAAGAATGTCCTCAAGGATAATTTGTGTGTGCTGTGGAGGGCAAACAGTAAGGCATGGGTCACTAGGGACTTTTTCTATAACTGGTTACACCATGCATTTGCCCCCAATGTGAAAGATTACCTAACTGAAAAGAAATTAGAACTTAAGTGCCTCCTGGTGTTAGACAATGCCCCTGGTCATCCTACAGACGTGGCAGAGCGACTTTATGGGGACATGAGCTTCATTAAGGTGAAGTTTTTGCCTCCTAATACCACTCCTCTCCTGCAGCCCATGGACCAGCAGGTTATTGCAAACTTCAAAAAACTGTACACAAAAGCTCTGTTTGAAAGGTGCTTTGTAGTGACCTCAGAAACTCAACTGACTCTAAGAGAGTTTTGGAGAGAGCACTTTAATATCCTCAATTGTGTAAACCTTATAGGTAAGGCTTGGGAGGGAGTGACTAAGAAGACCTTGAACTCTGCTTGGAAGAAACTGTGGCCAGAATGTGTAGACAAAAGGGATTTTGAAGGGTTTGAGGCTAACCCTGAGAGGATTATGCCAGTTGAGGAATCCATTGTGACATTGGGAAAGTCCTTGGGGTTGGAGGTTAGTGGGGAGGATGTGGAAGAGTTGGTGAAGGAGGACAATGAAGAACTAACCACTGATGAGCTGATAGATCAACTTCAAGAGCAAGAGGCCAGACCTGAGAAAACTGGTTCAGAGGAGGGGAGAGAGAAATTGAAGAAGTTGCCTACTACAAAGATTAAGGAAATGTGTGCAAAGTGGCTTGAAGTGCAAACCTTTTTTGATGAAAATCACCCTCACACAGCTATTGCAAGCCGTGTTGGCAACCTGTACACTGACAATGTTGTACAACACTTTAGGGAAGTCATAAAGTAACGAGAGGTACAGGCCACTATGGACAGATATGTTGTGCGAAAGAAGTCCAGTGACTCTGAAGCTGGTCCTAGTGGCATTAAAAGAAGAAGGGAAGTAACCCCAGAAAAGGACTCGACACCTCAAGTCTTAATGGAAGGGGATTCCCCTTCTAAACACTAACACTCTCTCTCCCCTCCTCCCATCCCATCAATCATCACCAGATCTTCAATAAAAGTAAGTGTCATGTAAGTGTGCATGCCTTTTTCAGTTTGTGTGTACTAAAATTAACATTTCATGTGGTAAAAAATTTTTTTTTTTTCATACTTTTGGGTGTCTTGCACGGATTAATTTTATTTCCATTATTTCTTATGGGGAAAATTCATTCACATACCGATTATTTCGCATAACAATTACCCCTCTTGCACGGATTAAAATCGGTATGCAGGGGTCCACTGTATTATTATTATTATTATTATTAGCAGTAGTAGATTCTTTGCCATGTTCAAGAGTACACATATGATCTCACCGTCCAATACCTGTCCGAATGGCCACTCCAATATGCAGTCATGAATGGGTTGACATTATTTATACTGTAGTTTAATAGCAAATAATGGAACAAACAAAACACTCACCACACTGAGTGGCGATAGGGCTGGCTGCCAGTTGTGGGGATCGGAGGGAGGGTAGTAGGGAATCGCGGGTGGCGGGAAACTTTAATATGATTTAGCGGCTGATAATTTGGCGGTTGGGAATTCGCGAATGTGTGAAGCCCACGAAAGTTGAAAATACAAATGTTG